CGACCGCCTCTCCGTTGCCGTCAGCTGTTTCAGCGGTGCCTCCAAAAAGAAGGGGACGCGCTGCCACTCACTTGCGTAACAGAAAATAGACAGACCGTCTTCTATGACCTGAAGGTTTATTACTCTTTTTTTTCAGGATACGCTTGCAGGGTAGTGCATTAAAAAAAAAAGAAGAAAAAAGATGCAGTACGCCGTCTCGCACGATCACGACTTTAATACACAACTTTGCCAACAGTAGAAATCTCGCCACACACCTTTTCTACGAATATAAAAGATGATGTAATCTTAGCAACGATATAGCAACGTAGAAATATAATTTGACAGACGATGCGAGCGTTCAGGATTGCTAACACTAATCAACTTTTTCGGGCGATGAAAACGAGTAAAAAATTCGCATCCTTTATACGGTACGCACCAGTAATACCTTGAACTTGAGCACACGCAAGGAATGCGCGAAAAAAGAAATCCGGGTGGTGTTCGAGGACGCAAATGCTAAGAAAGCACCGCTGTAGTCGAAGTAAACAAACACGACAGCACGGGCGTTTCTGGGGTGCTATGTTGCGCTTTTTGGACTCCCAGGAGACTAGGGAGAAGGAAGTGACGTCAACGACACAGCAAACGCAGATTGGATGTTGACAGAAGAAAACGAAATCAACACCCAATCTGCGTTTGCTGTGTCGTTGACGTCACTTCCTTCTCCCTAGTCTCCTGGGAGTCCAAAAAGCGCAACATAGCAACCCTGCTGTCTTGAGAGTGCCGCCACGAGATCGCCGTACAAGTAGGTGGATCTTCCCTTCTAGTACGTGCTGGGTTATCATAACGATACACGACGAAAATTCACAGTCAAGGATAGCGCTTTTGCGGGGAACGATGAGCGCGTCCATCACGCCGTCGATGTCGACGATCACCACCGACGCCATGTTTGCAAATAGAAGGAGTCAGGCACGACCGGCATACAACGCGCGCGACCGAGCTCTCCTCAACCTGTGATTGGTCTGTCGCTCCCGTCGTTACCGAACGTAACGAAAAAGTTCAGCCCGGCTCAACTCCTTGCGTTGTGAACGAACACGAACGAAACGACCGTTTGGCGCTTCGTTGCTATGGTAACTCGTCGTTCCAACCAATTGCATTCGTTCGTAAGCGTAGTGGTCGCTCCGAACGCAACTGTGTGAACGGGCCTTGAGGGAGATTGAGAAAGGTTAGGTGCTTGAGTAGGAAGGACGCCAAGGCGCTTCTGCCAACAGCCGTTTTCTGATATGATGCTGCGGAGCGGAACATCGGCCTTGTGAGTTTTTGCGGAGAAAAAAACAGTCGTTTTGAGGGGGCAGCTATCGCGTTCCTCAAGGCTGGCAGGTCAAGGTTCGTGCACAGGTCTTTAACCTTGGATCTCAGAGACCCCGAAAGTCTTCTTTTGAGCAAGACAAAGTTCTTATCTAGGGCAGCTCCCACCTTGACGCCGAAGAGGTCTTCCTCCATGATGACAAAAACGCCTGTTTTGTCAGACTCCAAAAGCTTCAGTCGGGCGCCGCGCAGCTCCTCCACGACCGAAGGCACCAGAGATCCACCCGAGGAGGGCGGGTGAGGGTGGGCACACGCTGAGCGAACCGCTGAGCCCACGAAGTCTTGACGATCCCGTGCTGGGATGGAGGCTGCAACCTGGTAGACAGACGCCAGCTGGTCGATTCTTGAACCGTGCAGGTCTGGGGCAAACTTAGGTCCATAGGAGAGAAGCCGCACGGCGTCCCTGATGACCAAAATGCTCAAGTAAAAGACAAGAGATGTGTCACAGTGATCTCCAATGCTCACACTTTTTCAGAAATTAAAACCGTGAACAGGAAACAAAAATACGGAGCTCAAGAACACGTTTTTTTTTTTGTTTTTTTTTTTCCACAAGTCATCATCGACTACAACCAACACATAGGCTACGTCGATAAGGCAGACATGCCGAAATCGTGTTATGAATTGTGGATCACTAATGTAAAAAATAATGGCATATTTTTTTTTTTTTTTTTTCATTTCATGGATGTCAGTGTTGTGAATGCCCATATTTTGTTCAGGCAAATTATGGCGGGGGAGCGTGTTCCGTCGTTGAAAGAATTTAAATTGCAAGTCGCGGAAGGACTCGTGGCCGTGGGTGCTCCAGACCTCAACCCGCATAAAAAGCGAAAAGTCAAACCCCTTTCCTACAAGCCACACGTGCCACACGTGCCACAAGACATACGCCGCAACAAGGTTAGCCATCTCCCCGTCCACTCCAGGTCGAGAAGGTGTCCCTTACGCAGCACAAGAGATAATCCGTGCCGCACACGATGGATGTGCGAAGTGTGCAACGTTGGCCTGTGCCTGCAGGGCACCCGAGACTGTTTTCTTGGTTTCCATCGAAAGTGAGGAACGGAAGACTTTTCTCACTGGAACAACTGAGGACTATCGTTACCATTGCAATCTAACGTGTTTTGTGCCTCTAAAGAGAGCTTCACTGTTATATAACCTTGTAGCTAGATAAAACATATGATTAAATATTGCGTGAAAAGCAATTCCGAGTCTATTAACTTATTTTTGATCCGGTCTGGGACAGTGGTCTCGCAGATGTACCACCTACGTTTGACAGTTTCTATACACAATTTTTCGCCAAAAATCATTTGAGGCACATATTTAGGGTGTTTTACTGCCATGTGTAACGTTTTAATTCGGAATTTTACCATGGAGTGCACCTGTCCCTCAAAGAGTTATGCGGCCGCCATCGCTTTTGCGCTTGCCGATCGTATCGGAGTCGATCGCAAGGGCGTGAACTGGTCCATACTTACATAGAAACAACGCGTATAAGTCGCACCGTTATGTAAGACTCGCCGACGGAAATCCTTCACATAAAGTATAGACCTTTTCCGCTTACTCTCGCCCCCGACCACCAAGTAGGCGTATCCGGTATGGGCGACGAAAAAATGTTAAAACGTTTCAACCTGCAACCAGTAAAAAATGGAGGGGAGACAAAACGAGAATGGGTGACGGTTACGCTTATCTCCTAAATCCATTCTATTGGCGTGGCGACGGCTAAACAATGTTTTCGCCCATGTTGAAAGTGACTACATTTCAAGATGGAGGCTCGTAATAATTCGACGTACTTGAAGAACAACCGCGGCCGACTCCGACGGCCCGTCGTCACAGGCGGCTTAACCGGTTGTGTCGGAATCGTAGCCGGTCGCAAAAGCGTGAACCAGCCTTAATTGTAAATGGTGTATTTTTCCAAACAAAGTTGCTCAAAGGGTAGTCTACAACTCTAGCACCCTTTTTACACCCTTTTTACACCCTTAAAGAATGTACTATTTTTAATGTGTATGGGCGCCCTAGCCATCTTGAGCACCGGTCAAAACGGTGCACGCGCACTCTTCACTTTTGAAGTGCCACAGAAATAAAATGAACTGAATTGAAATTGAATTGAAAGTAGACCAAAAGCGAAAATGGAGCGCAGCTCTTGAGGTATCTTGATTTTGCGATATGCCGTGCTAACCAATTTGAGAATCACCGTCCTCACATACTGGTTCTGCACCCTCCTCCTCTTCCGTGTCCTCTTCCTTCTTCGTACCCTCTTCCTCCGTACCCTCCCCTCCTCATCCTCCATACCTTCCCCTGCTCCCACAGCTTCCTCGCTAAAAAAAAAAAACAACATGACTTCGTGTCACGTCACCTATTCTCTGCTATATTTAGCGGGGAAATTGACGTCACGTGACCTCAGCACCAATTCAATTCCCCGCTAAATTTAGTGGGGAAACAGGATTGGTGTATAGGTCTGTGACGTCCCATAATGTAACACTGCGCATTCAGTTTCCCCCGCTAAACTTAGTGGTAAAACTGTCGTCACATGACCTCAATACCAATTCAGTTTACCAGCCGATCTAAATCACTCAAAATAAAACGTAAAAATCAGCTTTCCGAGCTAAAATACATGTAAAGCTGATTTTACCATGAAAATAAAGGTATAAAAAAAACGACCCATTCAGATTTTTTTTTTTTTTTTTAGTCCAATGATTTAGCAGCGTGAGCGTGTTTCTCAGTCTTCAAGAAGCAATTTGAGCATTTGATTGGACACCAGAGGGATTAAGAGAAAAGGCAGAACGATTTTCAGAAGGGTATAAACTTGGGCGAGTTGGTGGTACGTTGTGGAGAATTAAAATCGCTAAAAGCATGATTGACTCACTAGAAGAAGGACGTACACCACAGAGCGCTACTTTCAACCGGTTTAATTTCGGGAAGAGAGATACGTACCGCGATAGCAACAAGACATATCGTCCAATTTTCACCACCCAATCGCTTATCACTTCTTTTTTAAACCCTGAACAATCGCAAAGTTGTCATGTTTGCGATTGTTCAGGGTCTAAAAAAAGTGATATGCGATTGGTTGGTAAAGATTGGATGACCTGTCTTGTTATCGCGGTTCGTGTGTCTTTTTCGAAATTAAACCTGTTGAAAGTAACACTTTACGGTGCACGCTGTTTTTCTAGTAGTCCTTCGCGTTTTTTAGTGCTTTTAATTCTCTACAAAACGATTTTATTTGCCATCACTTATGGTTTTGTTCAAACAAAAATTTCGTCCTAATAAAAAGTTTTTTTTTTTTTTTTGCTTTTGTTTTGTTGTTGCCAGTTTGATTTTTCAGGAAGTTTGACTCCATTATCAGCCATCAGAAAAATTCAGTTTTTTTATTTGTAACTCCTGATTTAGGAAAGTTTTCCATTTGATAGTTTCACAAGACAAGTCCACCACTATAGACTCCACTTTCATAGTAAATTGCAGTGTCATAGCATGGAAAGCTAATTTGAGCGATATCTTTGAAATGGGTTTGATTAACTGACCCTCAAAGTATATGTACACATGCGTGAATAAAATTTCCCGTTTTTGTGCGAATGTTTTCTTTTTGGCACGACACAGCGATTGAAGGTCGGAACTTAGAACTGCGTGCTTACGCGATACCTGATATAGGAGGACCGAAGTCCGGTCGGCTTATCTTTCTCGGTAGCTGTCGGGTGTAGTCAGCTCACTGCTTGCTTCCTCTCGCTGCGGTGACTCAAACCGAACTTATCTGGCTTGGGGGATGCCTTCGTTCTCTGGGTGTTCTGAAGTTTACAACGATGTCGGAATCCAAGGAAGTCGTGGCCGTCAAAGTGGGCGTCAAGACGAGCAAAGGGGATCAACTCACCACCCTTGACCTCACTTGTCCGCTTCGGGATACTGTGGCCGACTTGTGTCAGCGAGGAGGACTCGCCATGCCCGAGCACTACGCGCTGGCATTTGCAGGAGGTAAGACCGGCTACATTTGCGAGGAAAACAAGCAGACAATACGGAAGGGAGATCTCCTGCAGCTAGTTCGAAGCCCTGCCGTGGTATGCAAAGAGATCATTGACAAGCTCAATTTCGCCTCTCTGGACGAGAAAATGGTTGCACTGAACGTGTTACTCGGTCACACGTCGGATCCCGTATTCGCGGTCGACTTCATCAGCAACAATGGCCACAAGCTACTCTTGAGCGCTCTGGAGGGCGGCCTCTACAAGGGACGCCTTCTCTGCAAGGTGCTGCAGTGCCTCCAGGAACTGATGGAACACAACCTGATCTCTTGGGACTTTCTGTCGGAAAAATGTCTCAATCGAATCCTGAAAGAGACTAATTCGCTCGGTGCTTTAAACGCCCTGACGATGGAGGTATGCCTGAGTGTGCTCGAGTCTGTGGTCAACAGCAGCCCTTACGCGTACGAAATTGTTTTCACTGGACTGCCGTGGGACAGATACGTGCATTTTATAGTTGAGGGTTCTATTTCCATGTTGAAGAACAGCGTGGTGCTTCTCAACACCCTCTTCGTGAAAGGCAATCGGAGTCAGCAGCTCCAGATTGAAGACGCCATTTTGCGGTTGAATATGAAGGTCTCCATATGGAAGAGTCTGACGAAGAAAGGGAATGTGGACGTCGAGCTTGCGCAAGTCTTGTATATGCTTCAAAGCCTGCTGCTAAACACGTACGAAGAAAAACGAACAGCCACGCTGGACATCTCGAACCCGGTTCTAACGGAGAAACTGCAACTGCTTTTGAAATTCGGGTTCTGCATCAACCCCGAGGAACTCGACTTGAAACAACGAGGATCTCGTCGTTTTTCGGCAGAGTACACGGCACTGGGTTTCCGGCACGTGGCTGCTCCGCTCAAGGATTTTATGTACCCAACTGGGAAATTTGCCTTTGAAAACCTCTGTTATTTTGCGGAGAACCACAGCGCGAGTTTCACTAGGGTGGTCCAAGAGAACGTGTGCTGTTCTCCTCAGCATCGGTGCCCCCTTACTCAAAGCAGCATCATGCTCTCCGAACTCCTGTGTCGGATATTCAGGATAGGAGAACCAATTTCGGATCAAGGAACTTTCTATCTGATGTTCTATTCACACGACCGCTTCTTCGAGGAACTCTTTAGCGTCTGCATGGTGCTCGTCTTCAAGACATGGCGCGAGATGAGGGCAACGACGGAGGACATCCACAAGGTCTTCAGCATTGTTAATGAACAGATTGTTCGTGCTCTGAGCTTGAACCCCCGATGCATCAATATCGATGCCTTCCGCGCGACCTTTTCATCTTTGCCATACTCCGAGATTATGAACCAGTTGCACCGAGAAAGCGCCGAGAGGAAAGCGTTCGAGAGCCAGTCGACGGCCGTGAAGGAGCTTCGCGACTCTCTCAAGGACGACATGATGGAGCTCGTCAAATCGAACCGCATCAACGTTCTTGCCGAGGGAGCCAGATTCCCAAAGTACAACGCCAAGGGTCAGCGCGTCAAAGATCGCTACGTTTACGTCAAGCTGTCCCCAAACGGAAAAACTCTTCACTACGGAGACTGCGGCGCCAGCTGCGAGTACGCTGCCATCGAAGACCTGACCCAGAAAATCGTGGTTGCGGATATCGAGGCTGTCAACACGGGGATCCACTGTCCGCAGGCGCAAGGGAGATCCAACAGGGGGGTGATAGACGTGGCGTTTTCGGTGGTGCCGTGCAACGGCGAAACGCCGCTGAATTTAGTGGCGCCGAGCGTCAGGGTGCTGCATCGTTGGGTGGACGGGCTGAACGCGCTTTTGGGCCACGATGTGGATAGCATCGAGGCTCGTGGGGACCTGGGCGTCCTTCTGGACATGGAAATCAAGCTGAGACTCCTGGAGACCGAGGGCGTGCAGATCCCGGACGTACCGCCCCCGATTCCGCCCGACCCTGCCGACTTCGATTTCTGCTTTATGTGAAGTATACGTATGTAATATCCTGCCCGCCAACAAACGGTCTTTGTTTTTATGTACGACTTTATTATTATTCGAAAGTCTTCAAGCATTTATCTTGCATGGTATTCGTAGAGCACGTGAACCTCGGGTGTATATACTCGCAAAATCAACCGACCAAATGAAACTTTTTTTTTCAGGAGCGACACACACACAGACAGACACACGCACACACGCACGCACGCACGTGCGCGCGTGTGTGTGTCTGTGTTGGGGAGGAGGGGAGGCAGGGTGCCGAACAGGGAGAGCAATTTTATTTCTAAAAATATACACAACAACATTCTTTTTTTTTTTTTTTTTTCTTTTGTAAGCGGAGCTGAAATAATAGGTTGTGCAAGTTGTGGGCACTAATCTTATCGGATTTGGGGCACTCATTCGAATATTTTCGTACGCACATATGCAAGTTCCAGCGGGCGGGATCGGGGAGGAGGTCAAACAGTCACGCCTCTAGCGGAAAGCTTCAGCTCTGGAGACAACAAACTGCATTTTCTTGTTGGTTTTTGAGGAGAGATATCGAAGATGACGTTTCGAAGGGCGCACCTCGTGCAACCAAAGCACTGGTCAGAGCAAAGCGCTCGCGCCCAGAACGTGCTAGGCGGGGTTCAATGTCTTTGTTATGGTGTGTTATTAAATACCCGGCTGTGGGGACAACAAGTAAAGCTCCTCTATCCTGGGAAAAATGGCGCCATTTATTGTGGTGGAAATGCTCGAGACACGTGCCGCGCGCCACTTCTGGGAAGAACATGGCGTCTGAAATCTATCAACGTTGCTCAGTGCTGCGCTGTGCCGCCATGATCTTCCCAAGGGCTGCACGTTGCACGTGCCTCGTGCATCGACTCAGCTTGCGCTACTTTTGAAACATCAAGGGACTTTAACAACAAGCTCGATAAAGCGCCCCCTATAATTCAATCTCCTGCCCAATATGTTTTTTTTTTTCTCGACTATCTGCGTTTAGGGGCGGATCCAAAACACCGTTTTTTTTTGTTTTTTTTTTGTTTTTGTTTTTTTTGGGGGGGGGGGGGTCGTGCGGAAAATTTGTAAGGATACTATTCTTCCATTCTTTCGTGTGCACCGGGGGGTCCACCCATGTCAAAATGCCCTCCGAAAAGGGGGGGAGGGGGGGGGGGGGGGGCTCAACTTTGTTGGGGGGGGGAGGGGGGGAGGGGGGGGAGGGGGTGGGGCGGCGCAAGAACCGCAACACGTGTTTCTGTTGTATGCAATGCAATGATATAGAGCATTACTTTTTAACTTGTCCGAATCTAAGAAAACAAGCTAACTTATTGAATATTACCAACCTGAATACAAAAATTATTTCATTTAATCTCGAAGGTGGAAAAAAACGCTGGAAATTTAAAAAACGAGGAAAAATAAAGAAAACACTTGGAGAGAGGGATTCCAAATATAGAAAATAAAAAGAAAGGAACAAATATATTATCATAACATAAACCGATTATTCTTTAACAATCATAAAGCATCATATTTTAACAAATATAATACAGAAAACAACATCAACACGAACAGAAGAAAACGAAAAGGAAAACTCGAGGGAAAAAAAAATCTTATTTTGGGTTGGTTAAAAACAAAGTCCTGAAAAGGACATACCGGTGAGACCAAAGGCATGCCCAAAGGAAAAACCTTTCAATGCCGGAGGAGACGGAAACATCAACAAGCTCCTGTTTTTCTAGAAAGTAACATACCAAACTGCACGCAAGAAAGAAAGAAAAATCCGCAGCCTCGAACATCCAGTAAGCTTTCAAAATATGCATGCCCAAGGAAGATCCTTTTTAATGTCAGGAGGGTATGGACCAGTTCCTAACCCTGGCTTCCTAGTAGAGATATATTTAAAAGATTTGCACGCATGCAAGACCCATCAATACTTAGGTAGGGAGGCGCGAACTAGTCCCGTAGCCTAAACCTTCCTCTCGGCATTTTAGGAAAAAAAAAAAAAAAAAATGAAAAGAAATGTGTCTTGATAATAATGTTTTTGTGAAGATGGGGGAAGATATATTCATTAAACTAATAAATTTGCAATCATTCCTTCCAAGCAAGATATATATATACCGGGTGTTTTTTGTTTCTTTTTAACAGATTTGTTTAAAAAAAAGCCGTGAAAGTTACACTTATGCCGCTTGTGTAGGTGAGTTATACCCTCAAGGGGGACATATTATAGGGGGCTTATCGTAACGATCAGTCATCTAATTAATTAAAAATCGTTAATTAACTTTTTAATTAATGAAAATGGACATGTAGTTTTAATTAGAAACTTGCTCAGCGTCACCGAAAACCACCAAATCAGTCATTTTCAGAAAGACTTTCGGCGCGTGAAAAGCGTAGTATTGTACTAAAGTTACTACTCGTGGAGCAGGTACAAGGCTGGGGCTAGATAAGAGACGGAAAAATCGCGCGGGCGCCTTATCGCAACCGCTAGCTTTGTACCTGCTCCACGAATGGTAACTTTAATACACTACTACGCTTCTCACGCGCTCAAAGTCTTTCTAAAAATGATCGATTTAGTGGTTTTCGATGACGCTGAGCAAGTTTGTGATTGGAACTATGTGTCTATTTTCATTAATTAAAAAGTTAATTAACAAACTTTAGTTAATTAGTCGACTGATTGTTACGATTAGCCCCCTATAATATGTCCCCCTGGCTGTATAACTTACCTCCACAAGCGGCATAAGTGTAACTTTCACGGCTTTTTTTAAACAAATCTGTTAAGCTTAAAAAAAAAACACCCTGTATATATATATATATATATATATATATATATATATATATATATATATATATAGGAGTATTCACTGGCGGCCATAGCTGTGTGCGCGAATGCTGAGCGCGTGCTGATGGCGAGTTTCCGCAGTTCTTTTGAAGCGTGCATTCCGCACCATCAAGAGTGCCGGTCTTAGCAGCCTATTAATGTGAGCTCGTTCTGAGCATGCGCTGTAAACAGCACCCACAAATATGGCATCCAGCGAATACTCCCTATAAACGGATGCACGTAAGAGATTGAACGAACTAATATACATATTACCTTAGTGAATAAAATAAAAAAAGAAAGGAAAAGAGGAAAGATTGTTGGAAGATATAGGTTATATTACAATAGATATTATTTTTTTAAGAAAAAAAAAAAAAAAGAAAAATGCAGAAACCGAGGGTAACGTGGGGTGGTTCGGGGGAGGGGGGGAGCGGGGGGGGGGGGGGGGGGGGGGGAGGCCTGAAAAGGACTTTGCCTTGAATTACTTAGAAGTGCATTGGAGGGAACGCTGGGGAAAGTGTACTTCTTGAAACAAAGTGACACTATCACTGAGCGGACTATAAACCCCTGTGGCTACATAACAACTTAATGGGAGGAAAATACTCAAATCCATTATCACGAAATTGTAACTCTAGAATACGAAAAAAAAAAAATCAAATTGGAACAGTAATTTTGAATAAACCTAAAGTAATAAAATAAACAAACATTTATCCTTTAGTAAATTCAATAATACATATTTGTTTTCTTTTACATCATGCTCTCTCCTAGTACATGTAACCCCCTTGGGCCTTGGGTGCAATCAAGTCAGTATTAGAAGTCGGGGGGACTTCTGAATTTGGTGCTGTTTTTGAATATAACTACTCTGTGGCCACTTGACTTTATGGAATATTCGCCGCCGTTTTCTTTTTTATGTTTTTTTAAATGGGTCATGCATCCTTGACTACCCCTGGGGCAATGCATACCAGTTAAAACATCCCTGTACAGGGGAATGAAAGGGCATCATGAAAGATTGCGTTAAAAATACTTGTACTTTACTTTGAAAGTACATCTTATTTATAGTACTTTACTTCAAGTGCATTACACCCAGTGTACTTGCAACTTCACTTGAAGTGCATCACCTCCCATTTACTTTGTACTTTACTTGAAGTATTTTTAGATCTACTTTACCCAGCACTGCTATTATCGGCGAGGCCTTACGGTGGCGGTTCCTACCTATGTCGGCCGGGCCCCTATTTGCCCCAATGTCTGTTATCTTCCTCAAAGGGATGATAAACCGAAATTTGGATTTCAAAAAAAAACAATGCAGGAGACGTAGGCGGGACGCTACAATCCCTACAACACTACTAGGAAGGCAATATCTCAAATGGACGGCCGAATTTTTGGAAAAACAAGTCGAGATTGAACCAGGCCGACGAGGCGCGTGACCGTCAAGATACCTAATTTCCCCCTCTCTTCGCTTCGCTCCCTCAAGGCCGCGAGGCGGAGAAGACGGGAGGCCGTTTCCCCTCCTTCTCGGAGAAACATGACGTCAACATTCCTGCCAAATGCGCCTCTTTTTTTGAAAAATACGGTCATCCGTTCGAGATATCGCTGTATGAGGGATGTTTTGGTGTTTGTAGCATCCTGTTTCACGCTTTTGCCGCATGTTTTGGGGAATCCAGATTTCGGTTCAGCATCCAACTCCAACCAAAGCTACAAGCGCGAGCTGGTACAGGGTCCAGGCTTCGAGACGTGCATTTCTCGCGCTAGAGCTCATTCTGCGGAAGAACGTTTCAAAGCAGTGACCTCGTGCTTGTAGCATTGGCTGCAGATAGTTATAAACAGTCGCGAACAACGAGTTGAATGCATGTTTTCTGCAAAATATACGGTAGGAGATTGTAATCGTTGCATCCTCATTAGCAACACCATCAAAGTTGGCGTTCTGGGATTCTCTTTACAATAGCAGTTATGTGTTTCAACTTTCAGGCATCTGTGAGCCGTTTTCTGTGTAGGCTCACCTTACAAAACTGTAAAGACTGGTTCACTCATACATTTCCGCCGGGTGCGTACAGAGCAACCAAAGCTACAGCAATGACCGCGGACACGACCAGGGCACCGGCACAGCCGTGGCTCATAATTGCTTCACGTCTTGTTCCATCGCTTGCCACGTTCCGTATGGCGAACAGTTAATCTTCCCGGTGAATTTGTCATTGCTGTTGCTTTGGTCAGGCTATTTTCTGACGCAAAGTTTACACCTCGTCAGGTGATTTAAATCGCTTTCT